GCACCCCTCCACGACACTGTGCCAACGCCGGGCTGGGAGCACAGACCACCGTGAGGGAAGCCTGCGGGCAGTGCACCCTCGTTAGCAGCAACTAGGAATAAGCATGCATCCACACCCTCGTTTGAAATCAGTGAAAACAAAGATCACAACCAGCTTCCCTTCGCCACAGTCCGTGGAAACAGTACGTTGCTTAATTGAAAATAACTAACGCACATCACTCTTGTCTCCCAGGGATGTGATGATGCATTCGGGGCAGCACTCAGCGGGAGCAGGAGTCCCACCGAGCTGCTCCTCCGCGTCAAAATCACGATGCTGACATTCCTGACAGCGTCCACGTCTCCGAAGGAAGGAGGGTTGGGCTTATCGTCTCCTCCAAACGGCTCTCCAGGCTGGCACGGATAAAGCAGACCACATAAACTGCAACTCAAATGTAAACAAAATGTGGAGAAATAAAGAACATATGTCCAAAGCATATTTTCTTGACCCCATCCCACTGAGAATGTGCCTATTTCCTGCTCTCGGTTTAATCCAACACGATCTACAACCATCTTTAGTTCTATTACCTTCTACCTGGTTCACATGTGCTGTCAGTTTATACACAGAAAACACAGCGTAAGGAGATCTTCTGACTACTGCCATTGAAAAAGTAGATGTTTGCAGAGACCAGGGTTCTAAGTTGCTACATAGCATTTTCTTTTGTTTCCTACCAAGTTAGGAACCACTTCTGAAGGAAAAAGGAACAGTAGATAATAGTCAGGTTATGTTTCATACGGGAACGAGTGGTTTCCCAATTGAAATAGTGTAGATTTTATATCGCAATGCTTGTACAATGCCCAGAAACGATGACCGGTGCTGGAACAATTGTGCCGCATTAATCCTAACAGCAGATCGAGGTGCTGCTGCAGTCTTCACACAGAAAGCAGAAAGCTGGCCGTACGCATCAGAGCGTCACCTACGTCCAGAGTCCGGCTGCAAAACGGGTAAAAAAGGGCACACTGGGCACAGAGCCACGAGACATGGGGCTGCGGATGCACCCTCAGCCTGTATCAAGGCCAAGCGTCCAGCAGGCTGATTGAGAGGACAGGGATAAAAGGACAGTCCCGTGGCCACATTCCCCCCACTCTGAAAGACAGTGATAGCAAAGCCACAGGTGAGGCCTTGAGAGGGCTCTGGGTGAGAGCACAGCCAGGGGCAGGTCGGGAAGCGGCCTCTCCCAGGCACTTCCTCCAGCTCTCCCCAGGTGGACGTGATGGCGGAATGGGATGGCAAAGTGTCACGGGAACAGTGTGCCCGTCTCTGGTGGAGAGAAAATGGCTCAAAGTTGGGGACCTCGCCGGAAGACAACCACAGCTTTACCTTCGATCTTGTCTTAAGGAACCACTGAGGCACAAGGGCGTCTGGCCTTCCTTGGCAGCAAGACCAGGGCCACCACCGGTGACATCCCACGGTGGCCATGGGCCACCCTAAGCTGCCCTCCCTGGGCGCAGTGCCCTCCTTCTCCTCAATGTGGTGGGTGCCTTGAGGACAGTCAGAGAAGTCACCGCCATGCCAGTAGCGAGCAGGGTCCTCTCATCCGCCCTCTAGCAGGCTCTCCTCCTGATGTCTGATCACATGCAGCCTCCAGGATGGTTCTGAGCACCCTACATAAAACACGAGTTCCCTACTGTAAGCTCCCCTATTTCCCCGTCTCAACACAAAATTTCATTCCCTTGTCCTTTTCTTTCTTTCTTGCAGTTATCCACTCTAGAAAAGGCTGTGAAGGGTTACATGAGAAATCCCACGTCCGCACTGAGCAATGCACGATGGCACTCAACCAACACCTGACAGAACTGTCACCGCGGCTGCGCTCAAAGTCATGAGGAGTCCCTGACAGAGAAGAAATCACGGCTTGCTGGAGTCACTGTCGGCCAGGCCAGTGGGAGCCACGAGACGGAGCACATGGGCAGGTGACACTTGGTCCTGCTATGAGCTTCCTCCAGCACCTACCCTGGCAAGCAGGGTTTTGTCTTTCCATTTTTCAAATATACCATAACAGCACACTTGTCTCTTTCTGTAGACACCACCTGCTGCATGTCGCAGTCCGGACTAAGATTCCTTCCAGCTAAGCTCCGTGTGCACAATGAGTGGGATGAACCCATCCCGACAGGATCATCACTGCCCTGGGGAGGGGAAACGCCAGGGGAGTCTGCCGAGCACAGCTTCGATTAGAAGTCGGCCGGATTTCCCAACTCCACTGGGTCTCAGAGATCATCAGCACAACCGCCTCGGTTGACAAAAGAAACAGGGAGCCTGAGAGGTCAAGGGAGCGGCCAGGGGTCGCAGAAGTAAGGAGCCGACAGGGTGCAGGACAGACCCCACAGCAGGCTGCCGGGATGAGCCAGAGGAGCCCTGGAAACCAGCCCTGGACGCAGCACCGCTTCCTCCGCGCTGCAGGAGACGTGAGTGCGCGGACGGAAGGTGGGGAGTGAACACAGAGCTTGGTGTGCAGATCAATCCAGTGCCTAGGAACGCCCAGATAGTCTTTTTTTAAGGTAGATAAGCATGCGATAGTTAGGGTGGAAGGCCAGATCATTACTCTGCTTTTATTTTTTTAATTTTACCCATAAAGTCACCACCTCCTTGTTGTGAAGTCTCCGAGTAGCATCTTATGCACCTAGCGACTCCCGCAGTGCTGACCGCTGGCTCAGCCCCCGCCCCACCCCCCAGTAATAGAAAGCAGCTGACCTTAACGTGCGGGCGGGAGTGTGAGGGAGGTTAAGGCTGCATGTGAACGCAATCAGGTTAAGACCGGCTCCAACGGGAGGAAAACCCATACATATGTTGAAAAGATCTGAAAAATGCCTGTATTCGCAACCTGATTACGACTTACATTTTTGCATGGTTTGTCAAAGCAGATCACTGAAATCAAATCAAGATGTAGAAAGGGATAAAGTGGTTTTCTCCCCCATTCTTCCATTAATCACCATGACCTATGGGAGAAGGGATATTCCCCCCCACCTGAGGCAAGTTGGGGTGACTCCTGGAAGTTATGCCAATTCACCGCTGCTGCTCAAGTTTCAGAATTAATTTTGTAGGTTTTATTTCAGACATTTGTAAATAGAAGTTATTTTATTGCAGAGTAATTTGCCATTTCTATCAATAATTAATTTTATTTTCCTTTTAACAGAGTGATAAAAAATTCCAATGTAACTTTTAAGACCTGCTTTGTTTGAAGGTCATATAAAAATTCATTGTATTAAACTGAAAATATAGATACAGCAACAGCTAGTTTTTCCTAATACATAAAACTTAGTAAAATTTAAACATAACCCAGAGCCTGCTGCTGGTTCCCTTGTCAAAGAGAATCACTACTAAATCATGCACAAGCGATTTGGGGGCACAATGCAAACAGCCAACAGTGTCAGGTGTGCTCCGGTAAGCCAGCACAATGCTGTAGCATAAAAATTACAATACAATGAGCGTTATGGTCAGGAACCTAGCTGATGTCCAGAAAAGTCTCAAGCAAGACAGGCTGGTCAAAATAGAGTTTTGAGGGGAGGAGAAGATGTGGGCTCTGGTTACACACAAGCACGGTGGTCATGGGAGCATTTCATGTTCATTTTTGCGATGAATGTAAACCACAGTAGGGGGCCACCGTCTACACAATATATCACAAAGAGGGCCAACTTCGATACCTGACTATGTCAGGGCTGGTTTTAGGCAGAAGGTTGCAGGTTAAATGCTCTCAACTGTCCAAGAAGTGGCTTATTAGTTTTGTAAGGAAATGTTTTCTTATATTTTGACTGAAAGAAAATACCTAGTTTAAGTGACCAAAACCATCCTTGTTAGTGAAAAAGCAGACCTCAAAACACTTTGTTTCAGAAACCCAAGAAGAAAAAGCAAAACTAATTCAAGAGGAAAAGCTGCCTTCTTGACAGTAGCTTCCAGACCTGGATCTAACTTCTCCAAGGCCAACCAGAGTCCTGCAGCCTCCCAGGCTCATCTTTCTGCAAGGATGGCAGACATTCTCTACAAGGCAGTGCAGCAGAGTCAGAAACCCATGTGAAGGGGGCTGGGGATTTAGCTCAGCGGCAAAAGCGCCTGCCTGGCAAGTGCAAGGTCGTGAGTTCGGTTCCCGGTACCGGAGAAAAACCAAAAAAAAAAAAGAAACCCATGTGAAGCAGGTTCAGGTCCTCCTTCTGGGCTGAGCGGGAGAACTGAAAAGTATGTATCAGCAGAATGAAAGCAGAAAAAGCTTGGACTGTTTTAAAAGGCAATTTTCCAAACACAACTTTCTCTTTTGCTTTTCTATTTCATGCGGTAAAAAATCCCAAGTTCATCTGCGGCAATGTGGCATCTGCCAGTGACACAACAAACAGTCCCGAGTGACTGCTGCCCTCACAGTACCAGCAAATCACCTTTCAACATGCACCTTCTCCACATCCTGAAGGGCCTGATCCTGTTATGACAGAATGACGACTGCAAAACAGTTACCACCAAGACCTGGACAAACATGCACCGACCAGTGGCTGTTTCCTACAAATTATTATCAAAACAAAGGGGAACAGCCAGTTGTGGTAACGTTAGGATAATGTTTACTCCCCCAGTGTTTGGATGAGTTTATTTGCAGTGTTCATCTTCCACTATGAATGATGCAGATGGTTTTACAGATCCGCAAACCATTCTAATCTAAACTCTCCTCCACGGAACGCTGGCTGGCCGCTTCCCTCGAAAGGCGGCATTTACAGAGTCCTGATTTCACAAGAACTCGTTTTCATGGTACCTTTGCCAAAAAGGAAATACACACACACAGAACTCTCACTTTGGAAAGCACATTTGAATGCATTCTGAGTTATTCTAAGGTATGCAAGTAGATGAAATACTCGCTGTATACTCCTGACAGTGGAAGCATTTGTTTCTAAGTAAGTAGAACTTTACCTCCTGTCCAGTGTTGGCTCAGTTTCCCGGGGTGGAGGGCGGGACCAACAAGCACACAGCCTGCCGGGGACGCGTGGACCTACCTCCCGGACAGTGCCGCGTGGTCATCTTACATCGCCGGGACTCCGCGATGGTCGGACAGGGGATCGTGTCTTTTGCTGGCTTTTTAACGATTTGCCGTGTTCTGGTTTCCAGGCCCCACTTAAATCCACACGTGCGATTATTTCTGCTACAGGTTCCCCATTCGCTCCACTGGCCAACTTCGCATCCTTCTAAAAAACATCAGAAAACACAAGCACAGACACAGATAAGAGCTTGGTGCCACGCGCTGGAGTGTCGCCCACCTCACACGGCAGTGTGTTCCCACCCGTCCACCTGCGGAGCCCACGTGAAGCCACAGCCCCACACAGACTGCACTTGCCCAGGGAGGGTCCTGGCAGCACAAGCCCGTGCCTGCTCCAGATTCGAAAGCTGTGGTGCCCGCTGTCTGAGCTTACTTTGCCACGGGGTGGTGCTGGCTGCCTCTGAGGACACAAGTGCTCATTCCCGGGACACTGAGCAGAGGCCCGTTTTCACTCCGTGGCAGGGACGACACTGCGCAGGTGGGTTCTGAGTGCTGCCCCACGCCCACCAATGGGTCGGTATTTGCAAGGGGGAGGAAATGGGGAGCTGGCTTCGCATCTGGTGGTTCTCTCTGTTCTCCCGACAGGCGCCTGAAAGCCAGTGTGAATTTCTACTCTACATTCATGCCTTACGTTACTGGCTCAAAAAGCAAACAGTCAGATATGTGTTTCTCCCGGATGCAAGAGCTCTGTCCCACACCGCTCAGTAAACATAGACCGGAAGGAAGTGCCTGCACCCTGCTGCCAAGAGGAGGAGGAGAAGGAAAGGTGCTCGAGCTCAGCTCCTTCTCGGCCTCCCACTAAGAAACTTCCTCACACGGCTGGGGGACTGTGAAGCTGTCATGGGCATTCCCGAGGGACATTTGTATCACATATCAGGTGCCTGTCAGAAGCAAATGCAGCATTCTATACCTGCTCTTTTCCCGCATTTCTTACTTTTAACAGAGGTATCCGCACACATGCGTTAATTCACACGTAATACACACATTTCTCCGAAAGCTTCACATTTAAATGCATTCACCTCTGCAAGCTTTCGAATGTGTAATTATAGATTGTTCAAGCAGTATTTCTGCAGGAGAGAAAATGTCAATTTAATTTAATCCTCTCTACTTGAGGGACGGAAAGTCTAACTGACAATACATAGGTCTCTTATACATCAGATCAGAGGTACAACAAGCCAATTCACATCAGGGTAGGCCGACGGGACCTGTCATCACAGCTGTCACTGGCCTCAGACACTCACCAGGACATAGCCACTGACTGTCCCTGACCTGTTAACTGCTTTAAAACTCCCACAGTATTGTGCTTGCTTTGGCAGCACATATACTAAAAATTCCACAGTATTTTACAAAAATTAATGTAAGAAATGTGTGAGCAATAGCATGGTTAATTAACAGGGTGTTGTTTGAAAATTTTTGTGTTTCTCCTAATCTTCTAAGTAAAATATTTTCCTCTAACAATTATTGGTAATTTATTAAGATAATAAGAGCTAGATGTACAAGTGATGATAAAAATACGGTGAATGTTTAAATTAAAAATATAATCAGACACAGAAGCTTAAATATCGCATGATTTCTCTTCTAGCAGAAACCCAGAATATAAATGAAGAACAAAATAAAAGACAGGTGATAGGAACAGGGAGGTGGTTTTACATGTTCTGCAAAAGGGAAGGAGCAAGAGATGGCCAGAGGGGAGGGCAGGGGTGCAAAAAGGATTTGGACGTGTTCTGCACGTGGACCAGCTCCCCAGGAGGAGTGTAAGCGTTATGCACCACAGACACAAAGTAATAAAACAGAATACTAAATGCAGTATAGTAAAAGACTTTGCTGAGAATGGTGGGATAAATGTGTCTGAAGTTTAGAGGGAGCGTTCTGAGGAGGGTGAAGGCAATGTGTGTCTCGCTGTAATAAACGTTTTATTGAAGCACTCACCATCCTTTGATCACACTGCACTGAGCAATCGTTTATGGGAATTTCTGTCCAGTGAAAACATGACGCTGTGTCCTCACCCACCTCACTCGCTGGGCCTGGCTCTGGGCAACCTCTGCCCCTTCCCCAAAAGGTGTCACACAAGGACACACTTCAAGGGGATTCAGAACATGGAGGCAGCCGCAACAGTGCGACTAAAGACACTCAGGAAAGAACACTTCCAGAGCAGCTTCAGAACATATCAAGGACGGTGGGATAAGTGTTTCGCGTGAGGAAGAGGACTGTGCGAGGGATTAATGGCAATGGTCATTTAGTGTAATTATCTTTAAAATTTAACCATTCACATTGTATTGAGAGCATCTCAAAGTACACAGATAATAAGTGTTATCAGTACTTTAGTGGGTTAATTTAGCAAACGTACAACAAGCACATTTTTTTTGGTCTTTCTGAGACAGGGTCTCCCTATCAGTTCAGGCTGGCCTTGAGCTCACTTTGTAGCCCAGGCTGGCCTCAAACTCAGAACAATCCTCCTGCCTCAGCCTCCCAAGTGCTGGGATTACAGGTGTGTACCACCACACCCAGCGTGAACTAGCAAATTTTGAACCAAGATGTTGTGTGAGACAGCCCATCATCTTGCTGCCTAAGGAATTAAAAGAGCAACAAGATGAATCTCAGTAACTAACAAGAGAACCACTTGCTTTTCAGGCGGGTACACCCAGCATCCCTATTTTCAAGGCGCAGGAGTGAGGCTGCGGCTGAGGACCGGCTGGGAGCCACTCACCCACACATTCCAGGGTGTCGTCCGAGGGTGCAAAGCCGTCCGGACACTCATCAAAGCAGCGGCCCCTGTGCAGGTAAAAGCCGGCTTTGCACTTGGTGCAAAAGTCTTTGCTGAAGCAAGAGTCGCAGTTTTCTATTCTGCATCCTAAGAGCAACGTTAAAGAGAAAGAGAGAGAGCTTCGGTTAAAGACATGTACTGATCGCACACGTGAGCCTCACCAGTGCTCTGGCCAGCTCGGCCCGCGTGCTGGTGGCCAGGGGGGCATCTGCTTCCCGAGTCCAGGCCTGCCACCCACCGCCTTCCTCCCGCACTGCAGCACGGTGAGAGGGCAATCCCGCGCAGGGCAGCGGAGCCCGGCAGGGAGGCTGGCAACCCCGCGGGAGTCAGACACGGGCGAGCAGGACGCGCTGGCAAATCACACCGCCGTCCGCATCTCCAGGTGGGCGTGAAGGAGCAGAGCGCTTGATGCTGGAGATGTGTGCCAGTGCTCAGTGCCCAGGCCCCAGTCCACATGGTGCCCACTTCGTCACAGGGCGACCTGACACGGGGGTAATCTTGCTGGAGACACACAAGCCCCCTGCCTTTGTGCACTGCAGACCCCCAAGGCGGGCAGAGTCCCCACTCGCAAGTGAGGCCCTGGCACAAAGGACTAAGCCCCAGCACCAGGCGTGCTCCCTGCAAACCACTCTCCTAACCCGTCTTCTCTACAACTCACTGACTGCGCTGCTAGGACCATGTGTCAGGCACAATTGCTGTGAGGTCAGATCTGACTTGAATTCCAGCTCTGTGGCTGTAGATAGCTACATGCCTTCCTCATGCTCCATGTCCTGCCATGTAAAACAGCTGTCACAGTGCACGGTGGTGCACACCTGTAACAGCAGAACTCCAGGAGACTGAGGCACGGGGGTGTGAGCTCCAGCCCACCACAGGCAAAAATTAGCAATTTAGCAAGGTTCTATCTCAAAATAAAAATAATAGGAAGGCTTGGAATTAGGTCAGTGCAAAGATCCTGGGTTCGACTGCCAGTACTACGAGAAAGAGAGAGAGAGAGAAAGAGAGAGAGAGAGAGAGAGGATATCATCAAGTTAGCAAAATTGTTGGAAGGACTTGTAATACTTCATGAATATACAAGCTGACTCCTAACAAGCAGTCCACAGATAAAAACAATAGTGAAACACACATAGTTTTTCAAAAACCCACACACATTCCCATTCTAACAAAGCATTTTAAGAAGCAGCAATTAATAGGCTTTTATTCTCAATGGAGTCCGCTCACAGGTGGACAATGAATGGGCCCCAAAGAGAGCGGGAGGGGCTGCTGGAGAGTGGGTAACTCGGGGTCGGGCGTCCGCAGGTCACGGCACACGCTGCTCATGTGAGATAGCAATGGCAGTGCACAGAAGTAATGTGCTATGGAAACTCACATTTATTCACTCAACAAACCTCAAGCACTACATTTGGTGCTCTAAGAATTCTGAAAATCTTTGAAACCTAAAGTTCCTCCAATCAAAGAGATAATGGGGTAGAAAATGTAACCAAAATATGAAATTACCATTCAGTATTACTATTTTATCAAATTTTGAAAATTGAGAAAATGCCAGAGAGAAGTCAAGCCTTAAAAAAATTCACTGAAGCAGATTACATTTTATCCATAGTTTCTAGGCCTATAAAAAGAAGGCGATGACTCTCCGCTCCGGGTTTCACTCTGAGCAGGATCACGTGTCACAAGGCCAGCACGCAGCTCTGGCTCAGCTGCTGAGATGCTCCCCATCTACCGTCAGGACGTGACCACTGGAGGGTCGGGCTCTGTGGGGAGGACCCAGTGTGAGCACAGCCGGGCCACCGCACCCGCACGCGGACAGGGGCCGGGGTCTTGCTCATGGTTGAGCACGTGAGCATGAAGGGCACGAACTGTTGGTTGTCTTGCTCTGGTACCGGGAATCGAACTCATGACCACACACTTGCCAGGCAGGCGCTGTGTCCCTGAGCTACATTCCCGGCCCTCTTGCTCTATTTTTAAAGCAAGCATTACAGAATTATCTCCCACGAACTTACCAAAGGCTAAGGCACGACGAATGGGTGAAGGAACAAAGCATTTACATTAAAAAAGAGGACCCTCACCTCACACCTCGTAAATCAAGTCTTACTGGCAAGGTCTGACCTCGCTTTCCAACGGGCCTGCACCACTGAGCTTTCTGGCCACAGAGTCACAGCCTCAGCGTTTGGGCCTCCTGAGACGAGTCCTTGCGATCTTTCCCGGCACTTTCTGCTCCGTCCCTGTCTTCCCTGCTCCAATGCCACTCCCATTGCGATTTCCGGAATAACCCACCCCCCGCTAGTCCCCAGGACCTCTCAGGCGAGAATCCTAATCTTTTGTCACCAAAGTCAAGGGAAGTACAGTGTGTGCGTTCAGATGCTGGCACACCACAGCCGTTAACGGGGGCGGGGGCTGCAGGCAAGGAGCCCAGAGGCTCGAGAAGCCAGTGACAAGCTAAAAGCCAGGCTGTGTGACAGACACAGCACAACAGACTGAGCCACATGTGCACACCTGCGTGTGTGTGAAGCCACTTAGGTGATCTGGGACGGGAGGGAGAATTTTGAAATGTTAAAAATGTTATGTTTCTGCTTCCTATGACTCTGTCCTAATTGTGATATATTTACATAAGGAAAGCCTAACAGAAAAGGTACATGTGCAACCTACGCAAGCTCACACAAGCCGCCGGGCTCCCACTGTGAAACACACCCTTCCAATCCACAGGCAGGAGCCAGAGAGAGAGGCACACCAGCCGGCCACCCTCCATCGGTCTGGGCACGGGGCTCACACCCCACCCAGCAGCGTGGACCTCAGGCCTGCGGCCCCTCAGCCGTCCGCTCGCTCCCCAGGCTCGGGAGCTCTCCCCCCACCCCAGCTGAAGGAGAGGATGGAGACCCCGTGTGCAGCGAGCGGTTCTTACTTGAGTCCTGGCCTCCCACCCCCGCCAGCCAGGTGGTCTCCATTGCCCTGCACCAAGTGGCAACCCCAGCTGCCCCATGCAGCCTGCCTCGGCCCACCGGCCTCCACGGCCTGCGGCCCGGGCCTGTGGGCTCCAGGCCACCACAGCCCGCCCTGCTTCGGCACTGGGTGGGGGTCCCATGGCCCAGCACTGCCTCTCCTACCTGCAGCTGCCTCCCAAAGCCACTGCAACTTTTCTCCTCAAGTTTGTGTGTTTGGTTTTTCAACAAGGTCTCCCTGCAAAGTGCTGGCTGGTCTTGAACTCACTAAATTGCCCAGGCTGGCCTTAACCTTGGCACATGTGGCAATCCTCCCGCCCTAGCCTCCTGAGTGCTGAGATCAGAGGCGTGTGCCACCCCTCCTTAATTGAATTAGCATTCATATCACCTTCATTAACTCTTTTTATATAAAACTAAAACACGACCATTATAAATAAAACTTTAAATGGGAACAGAGTTTCAAGGGAAACTATGGGAATGCTTTTGCTTCCTGTACCAGGCCTGCCAGTGCAATAACAATGTCCCACCTAACTTGAGGAAAATCTCTAAGTCTTACACATCAAATGAGTTAACCCCATTAAAACCCCACTGGGGTCACACAACAGATGACGAACCCTTAGGAAACCTCGTTCTGCACGGAAACACAGGCACACCGAGATTCTCCAGACATCGGCCTCTTACGACGACACGGGCTTTGGGTCCCTGCTCAGGAGCAGGAGGTGACAGCAACAGCTCCCGGGCACAGAGCTCAGCAGCGCAGACCTCAGGCCAGGGGTCAGGGAAACCAGCGTCTGGGTGAGGCTGTGGCCAGTGCAGGCGATGCGGCTGTCACCTGGTGGGAGGGGCTCACCCTGGCCAGGACGCAGAACCGGTCCAGAGCTGTCCACCCACGAGGCCAGTGAGGCCCCACACACTGCCGTCCAGTCGCACGGTCCCACACTGCCCAAGCGTAAGCACCATGGCACGGGAAGGGCACAGACCTCTGTCACCATCAGACCTCCTCCGCTTCTCCAGCAGAACCTGTGCCACATGCATGTCTGCTTGTGCCCCGCGCACTCTCCTGGACTGAGGAAGCGGCCGTGCCATACAGAACCGCAGCTCGCTGCAAGAAGCAACATCAAACCCTGAAAATACCGGACGGGAGGTCGCCACGGTGCCGCAGGTGGTCGCTCTGTGGAGGCTGGTGTTGGTGGGGCACTTTTGGGGCGGAGAGAACTGGGGCGGGGGGAGCTCGTGGGCAACAGAGAGGAGGCCCAGGGCCGTGAAGCGGCAGAGGCGGTGGCTGGGCCGGGCTCCCAGGCTCTGAGGCTGCGGGGGGATCGGGTGTGCCGTGCCTGCTGTGGCTCTGTCTTCACCAGGGAGCCTTACGGGGTGTGGGCAGGGGATGGCTGGTCTGACCGGGGGGCTGGCAGCAAGGGGCCCGGCGCTGGGACAGGCTGGCCAGGCGGCACCCAGGCCTTGTCCGTGGACGGGGGTCTGAGAAGACACAGGCGACGTGTGCTGCTCCAGCAGTGTCCACCGGGCTGGGGCCAGCGGTCTGGGAAGCAGGAGCGTGGGGTCCAGGGTGCTGGGACCGTGAGGCTGGGAGGGCGCCCGCAGAGCACCTCTGCCTCCCTCTACCCAGGATGGAGATGAGAAGCTCCCCTAACTCGATCTCAGATCATCAACTGCACAACCAGGAACGTCAAGCTCTTTGGTCAAGAGCAAAGAAAACCCCAGCCATGCTGCCCCCGCCTGTGAAAATGCAATTCCGTGCATCTGGGTCACTGCCGGGGAGGGAGGGGGTCGAGGAGCAGGCAGGATGCGTCCCAGTCTCGGTGCTCTCGGTGCCTCGTGGACACGCGGGGTCTGCTCCTGTCAGCCCGGCCTCTCCCGCAGGCCCTCAGGCTCGAGGACCCTGCCGCCCAGACGTACACACAGGCCCCTGCTGCCGGAGCCCTGGAAGCAAGCTCTCAGTGATGCTAAAATCTAACCCAAACGCAAGGCACAGCTCGCTCAGGGCAACAGCACGTTAACTCAGCAATTTCCCCACAGAGAGCCCTGGGCTGTGCAGTGTGTGCAGCTTCAGAAAACCATTCAAATCTCTCTGGACTCCTCTGACAACTTCAGCTGCTCCTGGGTGACCTCCCTTCTGGGAATTATAACGGCTTATGG